AGAGGTAGTCGGATCTCTGTGAATTGGAGACTGGCTTGGTCTACAAGTGCTAGTTCCAGGACAGCCTCCAAAGCCACAGAGAACCCCTGTTTTGAAACTCCCCTGCCCCAAAAAGTAGTCTTCATGTGGTTATTTGGGAGCTGGCAGGTGGAACAGAAAAAGTCTTCCTATACCTAAATGCTAGTGTAGTGCACAATCAGAGCCCAACTATCCTACAACAGCAGGATAAAACAATCCAATGTAGCTGACACACAAGAAGACAACCTTAAAAATAACTTTATGAAAAATTATAGAGGTCCTTAAAGAGGAAATGTAAAAAAATACTTTAAAGAAATTGAAGAAAAGTCAAACAAAATATTGGAGCAAATCAATAAATTCCTTACAGAATGCCAAGAAAGCCAACAAAAATCAAACAAGCAAAGGCAACAGTTCAAAGCCTGAAAATGGAAATAGAAGCAATAAAGAGAACACAAATGAGGGAACTCTGGAAATGGAAACTTTGAGTATGCAGACAGGAATATAGATGCAAGCATCACTAACAGAATACAAGTGTTGAAAGAGAGGATCTCAGGCATTGAAGACATGACAGAGGATTCATTAATCTAAGAAAATGTCAAATCTAAAAAAAATGCCTGATATAAAACATCCAGGAAATCTGGGACACTGTGAGAAGACCAAACTTAAGAATAATAGGAATAGAGACCTCGTCAGCCCTCTCTCCAGGTGAGGTTACTGCACCGTTCTCCAACCCTCTGCCGCCATGGCCTGCAGACGTAGAAGCCCACCCCGGTATGGGAGCCGCCACGACGCCGGTGCGAGATGGAGCCTCGGACGGAAGCGCAGAGCGGACGGAAAGGACCGGAAGCCCGAGGACTCCGAGGAAAGCGAGCGCCAGATTGCAGACCGTCGACCTGAAAGCTTTACGACTCCTGAAGGCCCTAAGCCCTCTTTAATCACAGCATTCAGGATGCAGAGACAGGAGGATCTCTGAGTTTGAGACCACTCTGGTCTACATAGTGAGTGCCAGGCCTACAAAGAGAGACCCTGTCTCTAAAACATTAGGAATCTTAGTTATTAAATGTTAACCTCATATGCTTAGTCTTGTCCACTGTGCAGGTGTGAATGCCTTGTACTGAAGTTATCTTATCTTTTACAGACACCTGCGACAACCTGGAATCCATCCCAGGACTCCCAACAAATTTAAGAAGTATAGTCGTCGGTCATGGGATCAACAGATCAAACTCTGGAAGGTGGCTCTGCATTTTTGGAATCCTCCTGCTGAAGAAGGTTGTGATTTACAAGAAATACAACCTGTAGACCTTGGGGAAATGGAGACAGAATTCACAGAAAGCAGCTCTGAGTCTCAGACAGAATTCACAGAAAGCAGCTCTCAGTCTCAGACAGAATTCACAGAAAGCAGCTCTGAGTCCCCG